CCCGCCGGCTCCATCAGCGCCGGTCTCTCCTTTGTGTGCCGCACAAAGGCAGGAGCGGGTTATTTTGGGTGCGTGCGGGTGTGTTGTGACGCTCGGGACCCCCCGGCCGAGGCCGAGCGGGGCGCGGGCAGCGGGAGCGGGGCCCCCGCCGGGCTGGGTGCCCCTTGTCGCTGGCCCGAACCCGCCCCGGCCAGACAATGCCGAGGGTGGGCTGGGGGAGCCTTTTGTCTCCCAGTTTTATACACTCTCTTTTCAAGGTGGGGAGGAGGGAGAAGAGCTGAAAAAGTTTTTGAATTTCAATCGGGTTGGGCTTTGAAAGCCTTTCGCTTTTGTTGCGGGGAGAGGAGGGGAGGTTTACATTTCAGCTGAGCCTGGTGGCCGGGCGCTGGGGAGGCGAGGGGGAGGTGGAGGAGAGGGGAGCAGCCTCTTAAATGACATCAGTTTGGCTTTGGATGTTGGGGCTAGGCATCCAAAAAAAGTGTCATCCCGGAGCCTGCGGATCTGGCAGGCCCAGGGAGAGGGTGTCGCACGGGGACTGTGAGACACTGCTGCGGTGGCTTTCTCAGTAGCTCCGAGACAGGCATGTCCACCCGAAGAGCTGGGTGTGACACACAAGCCCGCCTGAATGGCCTGTCCTCGCAGAGCGATGGCCACCCCCGCCCGGCTCGTCCCCCCCACATCGGTGGTAGCTTTGACTTGCGTAAGCTGATGAAGAATGGACCCACCGATGCCTGGAAATCCGCCTCCTCCCTCCTTCGCTTCCCACCCCTTCTCCCCGTTTCTGAGAGGTGTAATGGAGCAGATCTTACAGGGAGCAGCTGCCTCTTCTCCCGTGCCTGCCTGCCCCGTGCTCTGCTTTATAACTTTGGGGTGAAAGGGGGGCACAGGGTGACACGATGGCTCGGATCCTCTTTCCTGTGCAGTGCCACAGCTGTCACCGCAGCGCAGGCTTTGGAAAGGTTGGTTCAGCTGGATGCTGAGGCACCCCTCCGTTGGGCACGGTGCAATTTCCAATCTCGCAGCACCGTGATGGGGTGAGAGCAGCACGCTGTGACCTCCGTGAGCTGGTTCATCTCCCTCTGCACCCTGCTCACCCCCTCCACAGTGCAGAGGCAGCAGGGGATTACCCTCTCTGCATGGCCAGCCCTGGGGGACAGCAACATCACTCATGCCAGCCTGTCACCGTCTCCAGGAATGTGTTCCTTGCATGTGCTGCTGCTGTTCTTGCCTCCCATCCGCCCAGTGGGAGAGGGGTACCTATACCAGCTTCCCTGTTTGAATCAGTGAGTGCAGATGGCCCTTCCTCTTTTGTGTGTGGCACATTTGACTCTCCCATGCAGCTGCAGAAGAGCTTGTCTTCCTTTGTTTTGGGTAGAGATAAGAAAAGCACAAACCCACACTTCCAAGAGCAGAGCTTTCCTAAGGGACCATTCAGATACATATCTCTGATATTAAATAATCAAACACTGTCCTCTTCTTCTAATTGCTGCAGTTCTTTGTAGGACAAACTTGGAGTAAAAAGTACAGAAACTCATGAAATGGAGTATGGTTTCACATGATGATTTTCCACTTTTGAGGAAAAGCCTTAATTCTGGGACATAGATTCCAATTCTCAGGTCATAGAAAGAGTGGGACATTTCTGGTTTAAAGGAAATAAACTCAACAACCTTTGGATTTTGATCAGAAACATTTTGTGTCTCAGAAGTGTGCGTGCTGCCAGACCAGCATGCCCTTGGCAGTGAAATAATTTTTTCCTCTTGTTCATCCATCAGAAGCAGCAGAGCAAGGTGGAGAAAGGTTGCCAGGAGCATGTGTTAACTCTTACAAAAGGAGGTCTCCTATTCTACAAATACAAGGAAACCATTTCCATTCCTCAAAAGTCAGAAATCCAGAACTTCCATCCTGCCCCAGGGGCAACACCTTTTCCCAGACCTTATTTCAATATAATTTGGGAGGAATTTCCACAATACAAAGAATGATTTGGAATGAGTCTCATTTAACCCTGAATCTTTCTTTGAGAGTTTAGTCTATTAACACATATGGGCAGCCAAATGAAACCCCAGCAGAGAAGTGCCTGGGAGATCTCACCAGCTGCATTGCAGTAGCTGTGTGAGGACCAGGTGTCCTCCATTGCTCCACATTGTGTTTGTGCATTTTCAAGAATACATTAGCTTTACCCCTGAACCCCTAGTACTTACTAGGTAGAAACATAAATCATATTTCTTAGAGCAGTCTTGTTGTATGCCCTTTCTACCTGGTGTGAAGTTTCCTTTGTCTTTAGAACACTATGAAAGTTCACTTTGATTGCCTTGAGAGTTATAAAGCAGCTTCACAGAATCACTGCGACGCTTGGCAGTGAAGGACATTCCTGAATTGTTCCTGCTTTCTGTATCTGATGTAAGGACAGCAATTTTAGCGGTGGCTGGTATGGTGGTATCCCTGTTCACCATCTCCACATCAAGCTGTGAGGGTCTGTTTTAGAAATCAGTTGGAAGGTGTTGGTGGACAATGAAGACTGACCATCCCTTTCGGGAATATCACCATAACCCAAAGGTGTGCCTGCTGTTGACCCCTACGCTGGGCAGACATTGCCAGCAGCTGCAGGTTCTTTATATCCCTCATCATCAGGAACTCCAGCAGTGACCTGAGGTTCTGTGGAAGATAGCATGCAGTGTCCTGCTTCCCATCTGTGTGTCTGTCACCCCCTGTAGGACCATAGAGTGGAGGAACAAGCTGCTGCACTGCTTCGGAGCAAGTACCCTGGTGTGCTGACACAAGACTGGCATTAGGGTGAAGGAGGTACCTGTACCTGCCCAGGCTGCTGGGGTTGACCAGGGTGGCACAGCACCCCAGAGTGTGACTCAGCATTGCTCAGAGCTGGAAGATTGTCAAGACAGGGAGAGGTTCAAAAGAGAAACCAGTTTGGGAGAAAGCAGCTAGACCTTGAAAATAGAGGTGTTGAAATGTTTGTTTCTGAAACTAGTCAGCAGAGCTTAAAGGGCAGATGCTGTTTCCTGGTGGGGTTGTGTGGATGCACAGTGAGAGGTGGATAGGGTAAATGCCCTTTGTACATTAACCTAATCCAAAGCCATGGGAAATCCTGCCATGACCTGTATTTATGTCCGTATTTTATTTTTATCTATTTACCTCTCAATTTAAGCAAGATGGGACTGGATGTCTCCTCATAGAGGACTCATGTCTGGTCTCAGCTATGTCCTGCAAGTGTTCAGGAGTTCCTGGTTCCAGCAGCATTACACAAGGATTTATGCAAGGTGAAAGTCAGAATCCGACCCTGCCACCCCTCCTTCTTCTTGTAGAAAGCTTTTAGGTTTGTGGCTTGCCCATGAGTCCAGGCAACTCCATTTCGCTTCTCTCTTCTATGAAAAAATTCCCACAATCTAATTTTTACTCTGATCCCTGGGCCTAAGGTGCCACCCCAAAATAAAAATGTATCCTCCCTTCCCCAGGTCCCAGGAAGTTGTTTTCCTCTGTCTTCTGCAGTGCAGGTTAAGCCAATGCCAGCTCTGGTCTCGGGAGATTTCCCTGCAACCCCCACTTGCCTCGCTCCGTCGCCGGCAGCTTTTTCATTATTTATTTAATGTCTTGTACCGTAAATAATGGTGACTTTATGGTTATTAGGAACGGGTTAAGGTACATGCGGGCAGCACCAGGCTGCCTTCAAAAGGAACAGGCCCGGCATAAAATGTTGCGATAATTGCTTTACTGCTGAGTGCTTGGTCTTTATTTTGTGTCCGATTTGTCTCTTAAGCCAGCGTAACATTCTCCCCGCTGCAGGAGAATGCAGAGAGCAAATTGAAGGTCTGAGCGTGAACAATGCAACATGGTGCACTGCTGGGTTTTTCTTTTCTTTCCTCTTTCTTCGTTCCTCTCTCGACCTCCCTCCAGTCATCTCTGCTCCCCCTCCCCCTCCAGCCTCATCTCCCTCTCTGATGCTCTGACTCTTCCACCTCTTGGCACCCTGTTTATGGAAGGTGAGATGGGAGGTAGGAAGCTGGCAGGTCTTCTTCAAAAGCAAAGAAAAAAATAAAACAGTGGAAAGTACCTTCTTATACAAAGCCAGCCATGTCCTTCAGCCTGAAACATGTCCCAACCCAAAAATAATGATGACTTTTCCACAGTGCTAAGAATACCCATGCACATGGCAGCTAAGGATACTCCTGGGTGCCCACACCTGCATGGCAGTTGCCCATGCACCAGGTGTGCCAAGGAAGAGACAGAAGGGAACAGGTCACGGAAGCAGGTGGGCTTTTAAAACACAGCTCCCATGGCACTGGGACCTGGAGTATGTTTGTGTCATCTTGCTGTGCAGGATCATTACCCTGTTAGAAGTGATTGCACACGATGTCATGGTTTCATTTGTGATTTTTCTAAGGTGAAGCTCCACTTTCCCTCCTCTTAAGCACAAAAGGCCTCTATGGTTGTACTGCTGAAAATGGGAGCTTTCTGGAGCAGGGCAGCCGTGTTTGGTGCATCAGTGATCCCAAGGATGATGCAGGTCTTTCCTCACCTGTATGCTCTTCCCTGGCTTGAAACCATCAGAATTGCTTTCCCCTAAGATTTGTTTTTGGCGGAGGACTAAACCAAATGCCAGCCTTGTTCCAGCGTGGCACTGCAAGTTGGCTCTGGGCTGCTCCTGTGACCTTGACAAAGCTGCTTAGTTTTCCAGTTATCCTGGCTGTGAAATGCCACTACTGGCCCAAATTTGCCTGATTCTGAGTCTCTGTTTAATAATAGTCCAGAAAGTGCTGTACCAGAGGGACAGAGATCTGTCAGAGGCAAGTGGAAGTGAAGAATGCAGTTTCTCATCTAATCTCTGGTTGTAGAAAAATCATTGCTTATTGACATGGCACTCCTCTGGAGTGCCTCAATCTCCTTCAGAATGGAGAAACCTCCTCTGGTTGGAAAGTCAGCAGTTTCTTGGTTATGCAGAATGTGCTGGCAGGATGGGATGGGGTGATGGGTTGAACAGTCCTTTTTTCACTCCTTCCTAGCAGTGTTGGGGACAGTGAAATACTTGATTTCCTAGGAGGAAACAGAGAAATGGGGTTCAATTGCAAACAAGTCCACAGCCTTCTCCTGAATGCTCGATCAGGAGTTTTCTGAGAACTTCAGAATCTCTCTCATTTGTGATTGGACCTTTATGCCTTATATACCTGGTGTGGAGAATTTAAACCAAAATATACCCCCCAGGCAGATGTCATCTTCAAAAAAGTTTCAGTATGAATTTTGCGCTGGATTTAAGATTTGACTGTTAGCCCAAGAGCAACAGCTGCATGCTGAGAAGTTCATGTGGGCAAAAATTCAACTTTTTGCTTTGCCCCCTCTTCATGCCTTAGCTAGAGATAGGATGCTTACTTGAAATTTAAATTGAAGGAGTTTTGCCTTTGCTGGGCCTCTGGAAAATATGATTAGCAGAGCAAATTATCGCACAAAAAAAGAAAAAAAAAAAGCAGTTGAGTTTTTTTTTCTTCACAAGGATCCAGGAATTATTTCTCTCAGAAAGTGCTAATCATCAACTTAAGCTTAAGAATCAATGGGTTGTAGCCGTAGCAAAAGCCAAATCAATGCTGAAAATCTGACCCATGGATAGGTTTGGTCCCCTTTCTCACACTTCCCCACCTGCCTTCTTTCCCCCACCCTCTGTCCCCTAGAGCAGCGATAGAGGAATTAATAAGGCATAAGGGGAAATATGAATGAATTGGGCTGAGAGAGAGAAGGAAGAGCAGGAGGAAGGATTTGCTCTTTTTATCTGAACAGCTTTAATTAGCTGGTTTTTAGTCTCTTTGGTTTGGTTGCTTGTAAGGGTAATCCAGTTAAAGAGAGTGCCTTTCATCTCTGTTAGACTTTTCTCAGCAGAGAGGGGTGGGTGAGCTGTGCTGGAGCACAGGGTGCTGCAAGCGGGTGGGAGATGAGGCCACCCCAAACCCCAATGTGATTGTTCCTACAGGGCTGCTGCCTTTAAAAACAACTAAAATAACCCAACTCTGGTGCAGCCTTCTAGCTAGCCACGAAAGTCAGCGGTAAAATGGCCAATGTGCTTCTCTGGGCTTAATGTGTCCTGTTTTCTGACCCCGAAACGTTTTCTTTATGAAAGGATCAAGTTGGGAGCATTGTCCCAGTGCCTTGAAAAGAGCTGCACAGAATGCTCTTTTGTGTTAAGTTGCTTTTTTTTTTTTTTTTTTTTTTTTGCCACTGCCTGCTGTGTTTTTTTCCTCCCCCTCCCTCCTGCCTGATGGGGGGAGAGGCTGGGACGGACAGTGATACAGACAGAGACTGTCTTGATGAACCATCTGTGCCACAGTGTAATCCAGTGGAGCTGAAAAATTAAACAGCAGTTTCAATTAACTTTGTCTCTCTGGCTCTTTTTTCTTCTTCTTCTTCTTGGTGAGAAGTTTTATTTTAACCCCTTGGAAGCTATTGGTATGAAGAAGATATCAATGTGGGCAGGGTGCATGTGAAAACACTTACCTGAAATCAGGACAGTGTCCATGAAATGCAGCATCCTGTCTGGTGCAGGACACGCTGGCTGCAGTAGAGAATGGTTCAGCAGGGCATGTAATTTTGGAATAAATGGACCACAGGGGAACTTCTTCTTACTTGGTTGAAAGCGTGTGTACTCCTTTAAAAAATGACACTGACAGTTTGTGTTTACTCTTGTTGCTATAACCCAGGATGTTTCCATTATCCTGTTTAAGTGGGGTTTTTTCCTCTGTTGGATTGTAGCCTCAGCCTTGCAGTAAAGAATTGCAGGGATTAACTGTGCGTTGTCTATAGCTATTGCCTTTTTATCAATTGTAAGAGGTTTTTGCCATTCATATATTTTATTTATTTCCCTTCTTCCTTTACCAGAGGAAAAGCACAGTAGGTGTTATTTTATTAAAACTACTCCTGCTCCCTCTTTCATATGCCCTTTGTGACCATTTCTACTTCTCTTCTACAGAAAAGATAATTTCATTCATTTTGGAAAAAGATTACTTCCAGCTTTGGATGGTGGCTATGGTTCATGTGAACATTTCTGTTTGCAGCAGAGTTGGCATCCCTGCTACTGGTGCATGTGTGAGTCACCCAGCTTGTGGTTACCACGGCTTTTTGGGGAGAATCCTGCTTTTTTCCTGATGATGACTCTGGCTGTCTTATGTGCATTTAGAAAGCCCAAAAAAGTCATCAGCCAGTCATTGAGCTGAAAGTATTTGCCTTTGGAGGAGGCTTCCTGTGAGGTATTTCTTAAAGTGTGGCCATCTGAACACAGTCCTTAGTTTGGGAAGTGTTTCCAGCCAGTTGCTGGACACTGAAATGGGGCTTTGCTCATTTAATCATCTCCATGGCTGTCTTTTGGGCTCTTTGAGAGAGATAGCCAATGTTTTTCCCTCCAATCCTTTCACATAGCAGTTGTGATAATCCTCATACTATTTTGTTCTTACAAGCTCCCTTTAAATCCAAGGGACTGTCAATACTTCACTAGAGAGATGAACCTCATTAGTACTTTATTTTAAAGGAGAAATAAAGCACAAGGCGGCCAAATGACTTGCCAGAGCAACCAGATAACCAGCATCATGGCACAGTCTGGTCTATAAGCTGGAAATCCAGGCTTCTCCCTGTTTTCAGTGGAACTGAGGAGGATATCCAGCCCTGTCAGTCCCACATTCCCTTACATTCATCTCTTCTGGGCATGGGAACTTGAATTCTTTTAACCTGTGTGCTGTGCGCACATAGAGGGAGTCTCCCAGCACCTCACCCCTCCAGCTCACCTCTTGCCTCCCCGCTCAAGCATGCAGCAACTTCCCCGAGTCCTCCCAGCTCTACACCCTCCTCCTCCTCAGCAAGTTCTCTTCTCCTGCACTTGCAGCACAGCAGCAGCAGCTTTTCCCCAGCAGTGTTCTTAGGGAAAGACCCATGAGGATGGGCCCATGCCTGCTTCCCCTCCCAGAGCTCACACTGGGGGCATGGAAGTGGCAGAGGGGTGGGGTCCAGAACCTGGGCCCAGCTGTTGTCCCTGGCAACGGAACACTCCAGGATTCCATCTACAGCTTTGTCAGCTGAAGGACGGGAAAGGAGGGAGGACCTTTGCTTCGCACCAGAACAAATTCAGGTGATTCAGGCTGTGGGAGCTGGGATAAGGGGACTGTGGGTGACAGCAGAGCCATAGCTCTGCAGCCTGCGCACCTCTGCCTCAACCCTGCGTCCTGCAGTTGGGTAGGCCCAGACAAAGCAACAAATTTGCCCTCCCCTCAATTCAATGACTTCTGCAGCCAGAAGGGGAGGTTGCTGAGGCTTGTGGGTCCCCTTCAGTGCCCCATTGCAGCTAGAGCTTCCTAGGCTGGCAGCAAGCAGGGAATGCAGCCACCGCAGCAGCGTCCCAGTGCCCGCTTGCCCTGCGCCCTTCACCCCGCGCCCTCTGTGTCAGCCCGAGGGTCTCCCCCTCCATGGGGGCAGCTTCCCGGTTACCAGGGGCTGCTGCTGGCATGACAGGGGGGAAGAATACTCAGCAAATTGCTTTGCTGCACATCTTAAAGGGATCCTTGATTTGATTTAAACAAAAACAAAAGGGGGCTGGTGGAAAGCGGGGCAATTGGCGGGCGCAGCCCTTCTTCTGTGTCTCAGACATACAGACTCGCATAAGTGACAGCTCAGTGGGCCGCTGTTGAGCGCTTTCATTGCACTGGCTCAGCCTTTAGCTCAGGAAAGCCAAAGTGTCTGTCACTGTGTCCCTCTCCGGCCCCCCCACGCCTTTTCTTTTGCTTTTCCCTTTCTTTCCCTCCCTCCCTCCGCAGAGGAGTGGGCGAGACCTTTGCATTCAGAAGGAGGATGGCTCTGTGAGGTCTCACTGAGGGTGGAAATCGCTTTAGCAGAGTTGATGTTTCTTTGTTTAGAGGCAAATTGTGCCTCTTCTCTGTGGCTCCAAGAGTTGCCAGATGCTGTCATCTGCAGGGGGTCCCCAGAGAGGGGTGCAGGAGCCACAGGAGGAGAGGAAGGACTCTGGTTTGGGAGGGGACGTGTTGCCTTTTCAGTGGATACAGCAGCAAGGATACAAGGGGGAGCAGAGAAAGATTTGGGAGATTTGTTGTCAGTGTCTGGTAACTGCATGTGAGCAAGGGCCCAGAGAAGTGCAGCTGGTTGGGGGGGACATGTGCTCCCCTCACATCTTGGGGTTGTGGGCTCCATCCAGTTTGAGTACAGGCTCTCTCTGGATGCTTTGGTCTGAGTTTCTGCTGTTATTTGATACCACATCAAATTCCCATGTTGCTTCTACCTCCAGCCTTGACCAAAATGGAGCCCTAGGACTGAATTAACTGGCACTGAGGGAGATGGATTGGGTATTGCATTTCAGTTTCTCTAGTTCATTTTATTGGAGCTGACCATATCCTGCTCTCATAGCAAATTAGAGTAGATCCATTCCTTGGTTTTCACATGAACCTCACACAAAATGCTGGTGGGTTCAAGAAAAAACAGTGAACAGCATCAAGGAGCACACGGGGGCAGAACCTCTTACTGCTCAGCCCAGAATCATCCATTGCAGACAGCTGCAGACACTGCTCTTCCTCTCTCAGCATCCCAGGGAGGAGCTGGACTCAAAAGCCAGCAGAGTTCTGAGAACATGCCTAGTAGCCCTCCTCTGATGTCCAGGCATGTGGTTTTGTCCAGTTCTGACCAAGTGTGAATGTGTTTGGGATGATACAGTCTCCTGAGCTCCTGGACCAGGAGCACTTGTTCCTCATTATCCCTCATGAGCTGTCTTGACACCCTTGCTGAGCTCTCCTCTCACATGTGTGCATGGACTTGTGTACTCTCATCCCTGAGAGTCAGAGCATTGTCACCTCAGCTCTCCTCAGCTAGTCATCCTTCTTTGGCATGATCCTGCAGGCTCTGCCTTGATGGCAGCTGGTGTCAGATCCACGTACCTCTGAGGATGTTCTCAGATCGCTTCCAGGATCAATGCCAGCACTTTGGGTGAAGAGGCTGGTTGGTATTTGGAAGCAGATGGGGTGGCTGCTTTAGCAGAAAATTGATGTAAGCCATGGCATGGGGAGTGTGATGTGGAACATGAATTTCATCTTGTGTGCTGCTCCCAACAGTCATTCTCTGTGTTCTCCATTCCCAGGGGCAGTGTCAGGCTCACCACAGGTCTGCTTTGGCAGAGGTGAAGGGAAGAAAATATCTCCCCTGTGAGGGTTAAGGAGAGTGACTTGTGGGGTGATCCTGCAGGGTACTCCTGCCAGCCCCCAGTTCATATGCCTTGGCTGTGCTGAACGCTTTCTCTTGATTCTTTTGGCAACCTCACAGTTAAAAACTTTACCAGTTTCTTTCTCTTTTTCCCTTCCTTCCTTTTCAGAGCTGACAGGGGCAAAATAAAGGCTTTATTTTTTTTTAAACAATTTTGTTCCTTCTGGGAGTGATGGAGCGAGAGTGAGTGAAGATTATAGCTCTGTGTGCCGAAGACCTTCATAATGGGGGGAGAAGCAGTGACATAATGGGAACCTAATGGCAGTAATTGGCCCTGGTTTTGACAGGGCCTATATCACAGCTCAGGAAAAAAAGAGATGTTTAAAGTAAAAATTTACACAAAATTATACGGTTTGGGGGGTGAAAACGGCTGTTTGGTTTTTATCTCTCCTTTTTTCCCATTCCTCTGGGGACATTGCCTTGCACTGTGTTTGTGTGTCTGTGTGTTTTCATGTCCATCACTTAATCAAAGTCAGAATGTAGGTCCCTGAACAAGAGAGCCCTCTGCACAGCGCCCAGGTTTTTAAAGCTCTGGGTCAGATGCTGAAAGCCGCCACAGCCGTAGTCTCCTTCAAGAGAAGCGGGACATGGGGACCCCACTGAGATTTCTCTGAGGCTCGGCCATGCCAGTGCTGGTGGCACAGAAAGCAGGGAGCACGGTGGGGCACAGATGCCAGAGCAGAAAAGAGGAGCTATGGGCAGGGGTGTCTTTCTTGTTGCCTTGCACACCATGGAGTGAGATCCCTTCTACCTTTCTGCCCCTCCACTTGTAGGGGTTTGAAGAGCCCCTAAAAGCCTCGCTGTCTTGCAAAAGCCCACACAAGCAGAGGGTGGTGAAAAGGATATACATCCAGAAAGGATAGATGTGTAAAGGATGTACAGTGGAAAAGAATGTTCATCCAGGGAAGGAAGGGCAGCCCGGTGTTTGGAGGCTGCTCTGCTATACTCTTGGCCCTCGACTCACTGTGCTTCCTTTAATGTTTCCTCTGGTATGCGGACAGCAGAGGTCCACAATATCTCACCCAGCCTCAGACCCTTTGAACCTCCTTCCCTGAATGTAGCCACAGTTTTCCCAGCCCTAGACAGCTCCTTGATTGTCTCCCAGGATCTCTTGCTGCTTCAGTCCAGGTCATGTTATCCACGTCTTCCTCTCTCCAGCACTGTGGTACTTGGGGACAATATCCTTTCTCCATCACAGCCATGCCAGCACCAGCCAAAGTAAAATGCTGGTCCAAGCTCTGATTCCTTTGCAGGCTTGGACCGCACTGCATGTTTGTTGCCATTCACAGTGCAAGCTGAAGTCTAACTTGATGTCTTCTACCATGCTCCAGCTTGATGTCCCCAGACATCACCCAGGTCTTCTCTGCTGTTGCAACTTCCATGCACATTTTCTTGTTCAACACATCTCAGTCAGCTTTTGTCTTCGAATAGCAAAGGAATAGTGTGTGCTGATGAAAGACTTTATACCAGGGGATTGCATACTTAGCCAGAAAGTGGCTGCAGGACCAGAACTGTGACTGCAAACAAAAGCTTGGAAGTGTGGCATGGAAAGCATTTGTGTGTTTCTGTAAAATTTCATATTCACTGCTTGGGACAGGGACTCAGACTTGTACAAGACGCTGCAGACGCCTTCAAGAAGTGACTACACCACACGTGGTTGTGCCAGCTCAGTGACAAAGTGCATTATTGCAATTGGGATCACAAAGGTATTCTAGAAGTTTGAGATGTTTCTGAGATGTTTCTAGAGAGCACTGAGTGACAAATTCATCTGTCTTTAAGCTGGATATAGCACAAAGAGCTGCTGGTCTTATGAATAAAAGATGTTCAGTTGGGATGAGGGTCTGCACATTGGTTTGTTTGTTGAAAAGGTCCCGATTCTTTCACTCTCTTGTCTTTAAGGCCTCTAAGTGTATGTAGTAAATCATCTCAAGGCTTACCATGTCCATCACCCAGTAGAAGTTGGACAATATTCTCCAAGGACTGACCCCAAGGGGGCAGCCTGGATGCACAGCAGGTACATTTATCCTAGGGGAATGGCCAAAGGGAGCTTGTACAGATGTCTTGCCCCCATTCTGACCAAAATAAAACCAGTAGTTTTGCAGTAGCACAGTTTGAAAGAGACGAGAAGCTTAAAATGGGATCGCTCAGTAAAAATGCCTTTGGGCTGTTGTTACACCATCATGTTAAGGGATCAATAGTAATTTGGACCAGATTGAGCAGAGAAAAAACTAATCTCAGCAAGCACCATTCCCTTTGTAGCTGGGTTGGAAGTGCTGTGTTATGGTCCTGGAGAGTAACCTGGGCTCACTGGGTACTTGGTGAATTTGCAGGCCTCAGGTAGCACACTCTGGTGTGACATTTTGAAATTCATTCAAAATTCATCTATCCTCTAAGCTGTGAGCAGTTGTCTATTCTTCATTGAAGTCAAATGACAGTCACAACACAGAAGCTCTATGCTGAGCCACCAGGCCCACACAGATCACCCACTGCTGTGTGTGCCTGGAGAACATCTTACCTTGGTTCAACTCCTGCAGCTGTCTCAGCTCCCCACATCTACCAGAGAGGACAGAGAATTTGCTTAACTCCTGTTGAGAGATGGC